AAATAATTAATTAATTTTTATATATCTAAATAATAAATTTATTTATATTTTTATATTTAAACCAGTTTCTGATAACATTGATAACATTTTTTATTAACCATAAGACAAACAATTTTTTGACACCGTTAATTACTGCTAAAAATCGCAGCTTATATAACAAGATTCCATATATATCTAAATAATAAATTTATTTATATTTTTATATTTAAACCAGTTTATATTTAAGCTGATAACATTTTTTATTAACCATAAGACAAACAATTTTTTGACACCGTTAATTACTGCTAAAAATCGCAGCTTATATAACAGATACATGAAGATTCCATAATCTTTTCTATATTTAGCTACACTTAAATTAATTCAGACCGTACGTAAAATAGTATCGCATGAACGCTAAGCACACACGCATGCACGCACGTGCGCCGGTTGCTCTCTCGTGCGTGACGAGCCGTTGATCGTTTGCGCGACTAGTTTTTGATGTAATGGGTATACGTACGATTAACGGAGAAAGAGAGGAACGGACCTTGACCTTGTGCAACGGCGATTTAATTGATACGGACAAGACGGAGCTCCGCGCCAAATCGAAATGACAGCCTATCAACGATCGATTTCACGCTTCGGCCGGACGATCATTACGATTGCGCGTGTGTAAGACACGCATGTGCGTACGGAAGGCTCAAATAAAAATGTCGTGTACATGACCCGTTGACCTCTCCCAGAGTACATTTTATTACTTATGACTTATGTAATACGATTGAGTGTCCAGCAATAAATTCGAGATAATTCCGATTAATCTTTAAAAAAATGATTAAGAAGATTAAATAAAAATTTAAATTAAATCTCAAAAATGACGATAAAGGAACTTTGATGCACCTGCATCGTCATCTCTCCTCTTCAACACTTCATAAAATAAAATAAAATTAATTTAAGCCGCATGTCAAATTCGGTTTTTTCTCTCTTTCTCTTCTTTTTAATCGAACAAGTTTTTAAATATCGATAAAAATTGATTTAACATTTAATATTTAATAAATATAAATTTAGATTTATTTCCTCTTTTACTTTTTTTTAAAAAAAAAAAAAAAAGAAAGATTAAGCGTTGCAATAAATTTTAATTAAATTAATGAATAAATTTCTTACCTTGAGAACGGCGGCACCCGCGATAGCGCCGCAACATTGGCAGACCATATAGCTAACGGTTTTAAGAAAACTGCAATTTCCGCTGACCATCAGACCGAGTGATACAGCCGGGTTCACGTGACAACCAGAAATCGGACCTAAAACCTGGAAATACAAAAATTATTACATAGCACAGTTAATAAATTTTTTTATAATAACTTATAATTAATTTAGTATAACAATTATAATATTAATAACAATAACTATATTATGTGGTTCACGCAAATTTAAATATAAATTAGAAAAAAAAATAACATTATTTTTTTCACTATCAATATATACCATAATTTTTATACTACTATGAATTCTAAATGTGTATGATATGTGTTTTTTTTTTATTTCCAAAATTTTATTACGATTTTGCTATATTTCTACTGTATCGTGCTATTGTTATATTCCTGATTAGAAACGCGTGATACCATCCTCGTGTGCTTTTCGATCGGCGAATTTGTGACTAATAAAACTCTGAGTCGTGAGAAAATTTCTAAAGTTTGTTTCGTAATCATCATGCGATCCCACGCCCACCGCGAGGAGAAAGAGAAAGAGAGAAAGACAAAATTTGCTTCTCGGATTTATCTCGAACGATTTCCCAACGATCAACGTCGCCGCGGCGAGCGTTTTGACAATCTTGCAGCGTGTCACTGCGTGTAACGCCTGCTTGTAAATTCCTCTTACGTACCCGGCATGTAATTAGGTGGGGATCGCATGAACGATTCAGAATGATCTCGCGAAACGACCGACCATCTCGTAGATGGATGGATGACATAGTCTATTTACTCTCTAGGAACATCTCTAAGAATATCTTACGTAAAAATATATTTTACAAATATATAATACAATATATTTTTTATTTTTAAACTGATATAAATAATAATCGGACAATTAAATGAATAATAGATAAAAATAATTAGAGATTACTGAATTTCAAAGATCGTATAATTTTATATAAATTGGAATATTTATATTAACCTAAATAAATATTTATTAAAATAAATTAATTATCAAAAATATTTAATTTTTGATAAAGTGGAGAAAAGAGAGTTTTAAATTAACATAAAACACTATTTTTTAATTATTTATAAAATATCCAATCATGTAATTTATAAATACACGTTTATATATGTGCATGTGTATATGCACACGCAATATAAATTATATAGATAATATGAATCTAACATATATGTGTGCGTGAGACCTAGAAATGCACATAAAATCAATTCTTTAATTTATCTATAACTTTACTCACAATTTTATTCTAATATATTGTTTTTCAATTTCATTTAACATTTTTTTATTTTTTATGATTTTAGTTAATATGAATTTTCAACGATAACTACGTCGCGATCTTCTAAATTTGCGAATTTACGATATCTTGACGTTTGTTAGTATCCTTATAAACTAACAATAAGTCAAATGTAATGCATCTAGAACAGTCAATGTTTGATTCATAATAGCATTGCGTGTGGCTGCTAATCGACAGCAGATGTTAACCTCGATAGACAAAATCGATCTAATTCAACTACACAGTTTGCAAATTACTTGTAAATACAGTTTGCAAATTGCTTGTAAATACAGTTTACAAATTACTGGAAAATATATATCCAGTATCGACGCAAACATTTTACATTATAATTGCATCCATCAAATTGTTGTGCACGTTATAAGTTTTATTGTGCATGTACGGTAAAATAAATCAATGATTTTATAAATAGTAAATTTTATCAATATGTCTAATCAAATCTTGCCAAAAAATTCTCTGAAAAATTCCTGCTTTTCCAGGTATTTCTATTCAAAATTCAAAAACAGGTAAAGAAAATATTTTAAAGATTTTTTGGTACAACTTTCCGAAATAAATTTTTTTTTTTTTTTTTTTGGCTTGCTAACTGCAATATAAGAGCAACATTATCAAAAAGAGAAATTTTCAAAAAATTCCCGAAGTCTTAATAAAATTCCATGAGAATTCTTTGATTCTTTCAGATACAAAAGAAATCCCTGAGAATTTCAGGTTTTCCATGTTTTTCCAGACCTTTTAGACACCCTGCTTTATATAATTATTAGATTATTTTACTGTATATAAAACTAACTAGAGAAAGATTATTTTGTAAGTGATATATAATAAAATGTGTCACATATAATCGTAGAGAGAGAGAGAGAGAGAGAGAGAGAGAGAGAGAGAGAGACAGGTTTTTTAATAAAAATTTTTGTATGTGTATGTCAAAATAATTATCCCGAAACGATCGATATACACGAGTACCCTCTCCTCAAATTTACGCAAACACACGTATCTTGATCTCAGAATCATTCGAATTAATCCGACACGGTCCGCGCAGACTCCACGGCGTCGGATTCATCTAGGTTCAGAGTCGGGGCCCGGGATATAACGAGGGGCCCGACGCACGCGGCCCAGTTCTCATGCACGCCGGCAAGGTCTCGTCTCGCCGCGGGCGATCGGCACACATATGCGCCGACCAGGATTACGTAATCGTTCTTTCTCTCTCTTTTCTTTTGTCCTCCCTTTATCTTTCTTCTCGTCTCTGTCAATTCGCGCTCATCGATTCGCTGATTATCATCAATTCGCGCCATATCGATTGTTAATCCCCGAACGGGCAATTGCCGTTCGAAATTGCTAATTGTCAAACTCGCGTCTAAAAATTCGCCGAAGATCTCGTAATAGAGATCCGATTTTATCGCGGAAAAAGATATCGCGAACAAATGTACAAGATATCCTTCACAAACACCTATCATAATTTTAATGAGAGCCTCTCTTTAATCACGGATTTCATAATGAAAGATTTTGGTCGAGAAATGAATCGCAATTGAAGCGGGCGAGATCGACAATCGAGAGAGACAGATTCTTTTGTGTCGGTCCAGAGGAGGTGGGGGGAGAGAACCGAGCAACGTGGCCTTGCGGCTTGCCAGGTGAAATGAAAAATCCCCGGGCTGTTGCATGGACTTTAATTGACACGTGCTCGCGCGACGTATGTCTGTCTCTCGGAGAAGAGATCCATGGAGTTTATATATTATAAAGCGCGTCTCGCGTGTATGTTTAATGCGCGAGTTTAAAGGGGAAAGTTATGGCCACTTTCCGCGACTCATCGGCCTTCGCTCGCAACATTGTTCCGAGAAAAGTAATAAACGGGCCCCCGCGGACGCCCGCGCGAAATCCGTATCTCGGCGGGAGTCTCCTTTTCGGGATCCTCGGTCCTATCTATCGGAGCGATCGCCATATTTTCGAGCCGAAATGTCGCGATTTTTTCAGCTCGATATACGATCTGCGACGGGGACGAGGCCAGCGGGGATTTTGCGACACGCGTGTTAATTTCTAAGATTTTTTTCAAGGATCTTTATCTTCGATGAAGTTGAAGAAAAAGTGTGACGAGCTTGTTCCTCTCTTTTTGGCGCGGCCGTTTGCGAGCCGCTCGACGCGGCTCCCTTCGCGGATCTTACGCCCGACTTTGTTCGCGCTTTCAAATTACAAGTCCGAACAGAAAATAAAATTAATTTCCAACATCCGTTCCGGTTCGCTGTAGATCGTACGATCTCGAATTATCCCGCCGTTTCGCGCCCTCGGGGCCTTACGACCCACAGCCCGCAGTCATAAGCCGCGCATACGCGTTCCCGCGTGCAAAACGCACAGGATCGGACTCAAAGGGGGAACAATATACCGGAGACTATTAAAGAATATGCGATGAATATAACAAGTAATGACTAATAAAATAAAGAAGAAAAAAAAAACGAAATAAAGGATAAAGATAATTGTCCCATTGTTCTCTAATAAAAATATTACAGATGTCTTCAGATAGACATCTTTTTGTTTAATCATTGATATATTATTTGAAAAAAATTTAATAAAAAATATATTTAATAAAAAATATATTTTAGTTGAATTTATTATGTACATATATGATGTATATTAAATAATTGTATTAATTGCAT